AACTGAGTGAGCCGTGGAAGCAAGCCAACACGCAGTGTTCCTCCACAGCCTCTGCTTCAGTTCCTGCCTCCAGGTTCCTGTTTTGGTTCCTGCCCTAATTTCCCTTCGCAGTAGCCAAGATATGAACGCCACTATTGAGCCTCTAGAAGTATTTGCAGGACTGATCATTGCTGTGGTTTGTAGGCAATCTTAGATAAATATATTTCCTTAAGACTTTTCCAAACAAATTTTTTTATGTTAAAAATGAAGCTGCCCAATTATCCAGACATGCTGCTCCTGGGTATAAACCCAAAGACTCTATAGCCCCCTACAAAAGTGCTTGCTCATCCGTGTTTACTGCTGTTCTCTTCACAATAGCTAGGAAATGGAATCACCTGATAAATGGAAAATGAAAATGCAGTACATGTTGACAATGGAATGTTTTCCTGCTAGAAAGAAAAAGCTATGAAATTCACAGTAAATTGATAGAACTGCAAAGTATTAAACTAAACAAAATAAGCCAGGCCCAGATGGACAAACGCCACATGTTCTCTCTCATATGGCGATCCTTGCTTCGACTTTTTAGATTCCTGTGTTTAATTCGGAGTACCTGTAGAGGTCAGGAAGTTAGAATGGGCCCGTGGGAAGGAGAGGGGATAGCAGAACATATGTGATACAAAAGTAGAATAGGAAAATGCTGGGGGCACAAGTAGGAATGGGTGAAGGGCAGGAAGAGAAGGGGCTAAGAGTGCTTTAACTAGAGCCAAGGGTGTATGTGAAGCCTACTATTTCGTAAGCTAATTTTTAAATATAAATAAATAAATAAAATATAAACATTAAAAGTTTTGAGCCGGGCAGTGGTGGCGCACGCCTTTAATCCCAGCACTCGGGAGGCAGAGACAGGCGGATCTCTGTGAGTTCGAGACCAGCCTGGTCTACAAGAGCTAGTTCCAGGACAGGCTCCAAAGCCACAGAGAAACCCTGTCTTGAAAAACCAAAAAAAAAAAAAAAACATTAAAAGTTTTAAAAGAGCACAGGTACCTTTCATGGTTAGTCAATGTTTCCCCAGAATACATTTAATAAAAATCTCAGTGCCAGGTGTGGGATTCTTCCCTGAGCCACGCCCCCTGCCCCCACAATAAAAACACAGGCTATTGCTGCCTCTCTTGGTTGCCCACCATAAGTACATGGTAAGGCCTTAGTGCTGAAGACACAGCACTTTGGCTGTAGGATACAGAGAAATCAAACTGAAACTGACCTGAAAACTCCCTGTTGGCTATCTTTCATAATACCGGGAGGTATTATATACAGGCTATATACAGGCTGACAAATTATCAGTGGGATTATTCATATGTGAACACCAAATTCTGGGTAAGTTGTCCCTGTGAATGTAATAATGATATGAAGTTTATAGGGTTAACCCACTGCTTTCTGATTGAATTTGAGTCCTAGGTATGATCAAAATGGCTTTGGGTGAGCACAGACCCTAGGACAATACCTACTACTGCTGTTTTGCTAGATGGACATATTGTCAAACTGCCTTCTGCATATTTATGTTTATATCTGTAGAGTATGCTGCTGCCAGCATTGGCTAGAGAAGCTTCTTTTGTGGTGGGCAGCAGTTTGTAAAGACTCATAACCAGTCCAAGTGCTGTAAATAAGAGATTGTTGAGTGCTCATTCCTAAACACAACATCCATAGCAATCTCCCAGGACTCAGGGGACACTGGAGAAGTGGGGACAGGAACAGCGTAAGAGCCAGAGGATAGGGAGGAGTGCTGTACAAAGAGGTCCTCTGTATATGATATGGCGATCACACTCATGAACTCAGAGCAGCTCTGGCTACCTACACAAGACCTGCAGAGAATCAAGCCAACAAGATCAGCCAATATTCCAGCAGACAGTACAAACTGGACTCAGTGAATTACAGAAGAGATTGGGAGGGGGTGGGGGTAGGGAGAACACAAGGTGATAGAGGACTATTGGAGTTGTCGGGGATATCCAGGAGAGGGAAATGAGAGGGAGGATTTAGGGGTGGATGAGATCAAAGTACATTTTATAGGTGTATGAAATTGTTGAAGAATAAATTTGAAAAATATTAAAAAAATAAAGCAATGAAAGATGTAAAGATTGTCTTGGTTACGTTCCTGTTGTCATGACGAAACACCATGACAGAAGAAACATACAGAAGAAAGAGTTTCATTTGGGGCTCAGGGACCCAAGGGATAAGAGTCCATGACCCTCATGGCAGGGAGCATGGCAGAAGGCAGGCAGACATGGTACTGAAGCAATAACAGTGAGCTTACATTACTATTTGAAAGTAGGAGGCAGAGAGAGAGAGATGACTGGGAATGGCAGGGCTTTGAAAACCCTAAACCCTGTCCCTACTGCTATGCCTCCTCCTACAAGGCCACACCTCCTAAACTTTCCCTAACAGTTCCACCAGCTAGGGACCAAGCATTCAAATACAGGAGCTTATCAGGGCTATTCCCATTCAAACCACCACAGATAATAAGAATTTGCAACTGATCAAATTAGGAAGAGAAAGGTAAACAGACTAGAAGGAGGAATCTAGCGTGAGTCTTAGATTTTAGGCTGTTGAAAGAGACTTAAGGAGCTGGAGGGTAGTGAATGAGGAATCCAAAGATCGACCTGGTGAAACAGGGTTTGACTTTAGGACTTAGAGACAACCAGTAGAGAATAAAGATCGGAGCTAAAGCCTAAAAGGAAAGGCGTGCAAACACATGCTGGGGTTTGTAGTGCTGAAGCTTAAGGAGCACTGCCTGCAGAGGAGGTGCCCGGCAAGATGACACTCTTAGGGAGCACAGCCTGCAGACGAGGTGCCCGGCAAGATGACACTCTTAGGGAGCATTACCTGAAGACGAGGTGCCCGGCAAGATGACACTCTGAAGGAGCCCATCTATAATCTTGTTTGGGGACTGCACTTCTTCAGTTAAATGATACAACTTTGTGTGTTTCTTTATGGTCTCCATTTTCAATGATGTAAGAATTGCTTGCTAATATGGAAACCATCTTTGTCTTTTTAATATTTATTTATTTATTATGTATACAATATTCTGCCTATGTGTATGCCTGCAGGCCAGAAGAAGGCACCAGACCCCATTACAGATGGTTTTAAGCCACCATGTGGTTGCTGGGAATTGAACTCAGGACCTTTGGAAGAGCAGGCAATGCTCTTAACCTCTGAGCCATCTCTCCAGCCCCTGGAAACCATCTTTGAATGAATTATTTTTATAGCCTTTAATGCTGTGGTAGTGAATCAGCTCTGTGTAAGGCAAGACGAACTGCTTCCTTTCTTCCTTCCCTTTTTTTCAGTTTCTCAAGACAGGGTCTCTCTGTGTAGCCCTGGCTGTCCTGCAACTCACTCTATAGACCAGGCTGGCCTTGAACTCAGAGATCTACCTGCCTCTGACTCCCAAGTGCTTGGATTAAAATCATGGGCCACCCACTACTTGGCTTGAAAGAAGTTTTTAAAGTCTCGCTTACAATAGCATCATGAGGAATAAATATCTAGAAATACACTTGTGATCTTGGAGTGTAGATCAGTGAGAGAAGGGGAGAGGAGAACAGTTGTGTTAGGGATGTAGCTCAGGAGGTAGATTTCTTACCTAGCACGAACTCTTGGGTTCAATCCCTAGCACTACATAATCCAGACATACTAGAATATATGTGTAAATCCAGCTGCAGAGGCAGGAGGAGCTCCATCTAGGGAGTTGAAGGTCAAGCCCTGTGGCAGGGGTCTGGGGAGTTCAGAAGAAGGGGGAGATGAGAGAGGTAAATTCTGGGCATATTAACAAAAACTGAAAGCAGAGACTCAAATGTTCATAGCAGCCTTATCCACAGTAGCCAAAATGTGGAAACAAGCCAAATTTTCACCATAAGATGAATACATGAATAAATACTTTATAAATATGCAATAGAATATTACCAAGCAAGAGAAATGAAAATCTGATACATGCTAGAATATGGATAATATCTGAAAATACTACAATTCATATTATTGTATCATATTAAAGTTAATTTCTTGATTTTTTTGTTTTTAACTACTTCATTGAAACTGATTTCAATGAAGTTAAGGGCAATCAAAATTATACTTTAAAAACTGGCTTGTCTTAATATCTGGATGCTACCATGATCCTTTCCTAAGTTCTGATTTTTCACGGTTAAGAAGCATCTCAGAGCTGAAGAGGCGGCTCAATAGGTAAAGTGCTTGCAGCACAAGAATGAGGACCTGAGTTCAGATCCCCAAGGCTCATGTAAAATGCTGGGCATGGAGGGGGCCCCACACACCCGTCATCTTGCTGCAACGAGGGAGGATCCCGAAGGCTTGCTGGTCCATCGTCTAACTGAACAGGTGAACCAGCTCCAGGTTCAATGAGTGACCTTGTCTCAAGAAATTAGATGGAAAGTGATGGGAGACACCCACCATGGACCTCTGCCTACACACACACACACACACACACACACACACACACACACACACACGAAGTAAGTATCTCTGGGCTGTGGATGCATTTCAATTCGTAGAGTATGTTCCTAGCTTGCCCAAAACGCTGTGTTCAACCTCTGAACTACATAAACCAGACGTAGAGGATAACCTGTAATCCCTGTTCTTTCAAAGCAGGAGCAGAAGGATCAGAAGTCCAAGGTCATCTTTGGCTACCTGGCAAAGTTGAAGCCAGCCTGCGCTACGTAAGAGTCTATCAAAAAAAAAAAGTAAAAAGAAAGAAGAGAAAAAGAAATTTTAAAAGCATCTTTGCTAGTCAGTCAGTAGCTATATAATTAAAATGACACACGTTTGCCTCATGACCTTTGCCTATGAGGAAAATAAAATCTCCCTGAGCAGAAAGCCCAGAGCAGCCCCTCCCAGACTGATGACTGTGTAGGGTTCCTCCCTTTCCTCTATTTCAAAACCTACATGTGTGAGCAAACTCCAGGATGAGGTCTGACTCTTCCCAGTACTAGTCCCCAAGCTGACAATATAAATGTTTATTATAATACCTTTTCTGAAAACAGAGCAGCTTTTCGTAGATTCCTCTGCTGCTTCTTACCAGCCTGTGAAAAGAAATCCTTAGTACTAACATTCTCCTCTTGTCATTAAAGGGTAAGGGGCAGCACGGGCGCAGGGGGAGGGCGGATGCAGAATAAGGTCAGTAAGGGCTAAAGAACTACAAAGGTCATAGCATCTTAAACACTACAGTGAGAGCCGTGCATTTCAAGGGAGGAAGGGAACTCTGCTTGGACTTCTCCCGGAATCTATGCCCACCTGGTAGATTTTTGTCAAATGTATACAGAGCAGATGATGGACGGACGGACGGAAGGACGGATGGATGGATGGATGGATGGATTTCTTTTTCTTTAAAGGCGTCCACTCATGTATGTACTGCCCACCAGAGCCTTCTTTGGCAGCAGGTGAGCAGTTCATGGCCAATTGTCCCATGTATGTTGGCTGTGGTTCCCTGACTGGCAAAATTCAGAGCTATACCTTCCCTACTTCCCAGGACAGGAATTGTTTTACATAGTAGGAAGTTTCCATTAAGAAGTCTGCCTGGATGAGCCAGAAGCCTGGGCTTCAGCAGCACACTCTTTAGGGAGTGCCTGTGGCAGGGCAGGGACTGTCTATGAAGCAGGGTCAAGGGGCGCGAAGGAAAGCGCAGTGTTGGGCTACCTGCTTGCGGGCTAGCAGGGTGGTTGCCAGAGCCTGCAGCGGGCGGGGCCAGGCGGAGCGGGGCGCGGACGCCTGTACCTGCTGGGCACCAGCGGCCACATTCGTGACCGGACCTGACAAGTGGACACCTCTGAGGCTCGGAAAAGGTCAGAAGTTCCGCTGGGGCAGGGGCTCGGGGCTGGGAAAAAAGGAGGCACTGCCTGAGGGAGCTCCACCTAGGAAGGGAGGCGCGGATAGGGAAGGGGAGCGCCGCCAAGAAGGGGACTGAGCCGGATAAGGGGCACACTGGTTTGGAGGCCTCTCGGGTGGAGGAAGGGTGCTGGAGTGCTGAGGATACCTAGTGCGTCTTAAGCCGTTGGTCGCCTCTTTGGGGCTGGGAGTAATCCTGCTCACCAGTTCCTGCCGAAGTTGCTCCCGAGGTCCAGGAATGATTCCGGACCACAACGTTACTGAGAGACGCCAAGGTGCGAAGTCCCGCATCCATTCCGCCTTGGTGAAACAGGGGACTCAATTTAGGTGGTGTGCCTGTTGCGGAGACCAGCTTGGCTTGTGCTCACTTGAACCCCATTTGTCGCGCCTTGTTAGCTAGGGATCCACAAATACAGGAACGAGACACATTCCATAGACCAGGAAATCTGATAATGAGAGACAGTTGTGACAGCCCCACCAGCCATCGTTTGGCCTTGGCCTCTCAAATCAAAGAGTAAAGCTATAAGATTGGCTCTTAAGGAGAACCTGAAAGGGGGCACCTGTCTGAATCGAGAGGGATTGACCTTGGAAACAAGAACCACCCTAAATGAGGGGAAAACAACAACAACAATAACAACAACAGCAACAACAAAACACGGATTTGTCCTGCAGTCAGGGAAAGGTAAGGCTTCGTAAAAATGAAATTTAAAAAAGCTTAAGAGCAGCTGCCTCTCCTAAGATCTCAACAACGGCTGTTTCCGTTTGTTCCGTTCTCTTTGGAGCCTCTTCCCCGCTCTCCGGTGTCACCCCACCCTGGGTTCCATTTGACTTCAGGATTAGCGTAGCCATCAAAGCTGGAAGGCAGATGCATTTATCTCACTACACACCCATCTAAATAGATACCACGGTTTATTGCTCACAAGCAACCTGTGCTTTTGTTTTTGTCAATATGTACTTTCTACTCAGTAGAGGCTGGATTTTGAACCCCAAGAAGCAGCTCTTTATGGGTTTGTTGACTCAATGTGATTACCTGATGTTCTGTAGTTTCTGGAGAAGGCATGGGAAAGATATTCCTTTGAATATGAGGTTCCTGTGATAAGCAGCAAGCAAGACTGTATCTGGTTGCACATATTTGTAACAGTGTAATAGAGACCCACCATTCTTCCTTCTCTCCAAAGGCTTTGACTTGCTCTGAGTAAGGAAAGTGGAACCCGTACCAGTGCTGTATTTCCCCTTGCATTCTGCAGTCTCTTCCCCTGTCTTTCCGGTGGATGCCGCCTGTGATGGCCAAGGTGAAGCTGTTGAGCATCACTTTATCTGAGGTCTCCCCTGAAAAGCTTTGGGTTATAGCTATGACTTAATCTTGGGCCTTAAAGAGCTATGATGCAAAAATGGCACTTTGAGGTGAGCCCAGAAGCAGAGATTAAGAAAAGGACTTCTCATTCTTCCCATTGTTTCAGGATGGCATGAGATGCATGCTCAATTATTCAAAATATGTTGGTGTAAGGCATAATCAAAGGACAACCAAAGGTTATCATGCTTTTCCTGGTTGGACACAGTAGGTAAGGACAGCATTATCACATGTACAGCCACCTTCATACCTGAAGTTCCTGAGATGGCAAACCTTTTTAGTTATAGGGAAACTAAAGTCACTGGTATGTTAAAAAAATAAATAGCTATATAAAGATATTTCCTTTCTGTATGTTTCTACAGATGGCCATAAGACAAACAATAAATTGTTTACAATAGTAGAGCATACTGAAGGTGAGCAACCAGCGGCCACACACAAGTGCTGTGATTCCCTTGGATTTCCTGTGGCTCGCTCTTCACTTGAACTCGGAACTCCCACCCTTTTAACCAGCCAGCTCTCTCTTCCCCAAACCTTCTCTAGAATTGGAAATAGGCAAAATAGATTAAAGTAGAACTGTATGGGTTTCTTCTACTGACCTCCTTTAAAAGTAGATGCACAGGGACATACTCGGAGGTCAGAAGGAAATTGAAAAGGGTCCACCAGCCGCCTGTATGTGGTGCATAGTAATGCCCACACGCGGCAAACCACGGTGTTGCCCTGCCAAGGACTGGGTTTTCATAAAGCATCGTCAATATCTTGTGGGTAGGACAGCAGAATGGGGATTTGTAGAGCACAGAGTGATTTGTGCACTGGGATATAAGGGTAGGGTTCCTATTCCACATGCAAAACTGAAAGCACATCATTCTGTGCCTGGCCAGGGCTGTCCGCTTATGAAATAGTAGCGTTGGAACTCGCACCTGAATGTTCTCTAGAATACTCCAGTCCATACTAGATAATTTTTATTACTATTTTTTCCAATTTTGTGATAGAAGATTATAATTTTTTTCCTACTAAATACTTGCACATTTGTTTTTATGTATTATTTATTCTTTGATAATTTTGTAGATGTTTACAATGTATTTTGGCAATATCCAACCCACAAATTCTTCCCTCCAACTCATTCTGGACCCTAACATACACACACAAACACACACACACATATACACACATACACATACATACATACTTCCCTCTCAACCTTCTCTCACCTTTTTTTTTTAAAGTCACTACATCAAACTAGTACGACAACTTCTCCCATGGGTGTGGAGCCTTCTAGAGTATGACCAACTTACCAGGAGCCACACCCCTGAAGAAAAAAATGACTGTCCCTCCCCAGTGTAGCCCAGTGGTCATTGACTGCTATAGTTCCTCAGCTAAGGATGGTACCTCAAGTGCCCCTCTACTATCCATGCTGGAATGTTGACTTGTTGTGTTGTACAGGTCTTCAGGTCTGACACACATAACCACAATCACTGTGAGTTTGTGAGAAGCATCCATTAAAAAAATCAAAAAACAAACAACAACAAAAACAGATCTCAGCAATTCTCCCTCACCTTGGACCTTGGGCTCTTCCAAACTTTCTATCATTTCTTCTGTAGGTTCCCTGTACCTTGGGTAGGGAGAGAGGTGACATAGACATGTAACCAGTTCTTTTATGTCTCGCCAGCCAGCTCCCGAATAATGACGTGGAGACTTCTTAGTAACTATGAAAGCCCAGCCTATACCTTAGGCTAACTAGCTCTTACAGTTTAAGTTAATCTATCTACATTCTGTCACGTGGTGTTACCTCTTTCGCATCTTGCATCTCCTGCTTCCTCTCCTCTTTCTCGCTCCAGAAATCCCACCTATACTTCCTGTCTAGCTATTGGCCATTTAACTTTCTATTACACCAACAGCAATATACCTTCACATGGTGTACAAATACCCTACAGCATAAGCACTCATTTAATGCTGAATACTCCAATGGTTACTTATTCTTTGCATGTTGACCAATTGCATGTCTCTTCATTAACAACCACCCATGGCAAAAAAAAAAAAAAAAAAAAAAAAAAAGTGTCTCAGATGAGGACTAAGAGCTGCCTTAATTTATGGGTATGAATAAAATTATTTTGAAAGCAGTTTGATACTATATTTAGCATAATAATAGTAGTAGGCTCTCCCCCAGAGCTTATGACCTCTCCAACCACAGATTCCTGGCCAGGTTTATACAAGAATGAGCTCCCTCCTGTGGAGTGGGACTTATATCCAATAAAAAGTCACCAATTATTCCCATAACATTCATGCCACTATTGCAACACCCATATTATCTTTCCAGGCCAGTCATTAATGTAGTTCTCAAGAATTCACAGCTGGATAAAACTATTGATGACTTTTTTCCCTTGGTAGCATACAAATAATTTTTTTAGCACCACAAAAGCTAGTCAGCAGGGAGGAAGTGCCCAGTTCAATACTGGATTGACTGTCTCATGACCAAAATATGTAGTGTCTTCACCAAGAGAGTCTTACCATCATGTTCTGGTGGGTAATCAAGAGTAATGGTAATAACTTGTATTGTTTTAGGGATTGCTGAGCTGCCTCTCACCAACAACACAAAGGGGAGTATCCCATATCAGGCACTGGGATTTTTGTTTAATAACATAGCTTCTGGAAAGAGAATTATCCCTCCATCTAGGGTACTTCTATTCAAACATTTTAAATCATATTTTTCAGTGAGCTTTTAAAATTGATTTCTATATGGCTTTTTCAAATCTCCTAAGTGTTAGTTATCCTTCCCACAACCCTTCCCTTTGCAATCCCACCCGTCTTTACCTAACACTTGCCATTGTTGCCCTTTCTCCTTTCTATCCCGTGTTCTACTATTCCCCTTCCCTTAAGATCTTCCTAAACCCCTGTGCACTTGTTCATTTCTATTTCCCTGGCTTGTACAGGTACCCTAAGTTACACCCAAATCTAAGTCCAAGCTGGATCTACCTATGAGACAGAGCATGTGGCATTTGTCCTTCTGGGCCTAAATTGCCTTACATAACCGAATATTTTCCAGTTTTAATACAATTCCTGCATATTTTATAATTTCATTTTTCTTTACAGATGGATAAAATTCCATTGTATCGATTCCATTTCTTAGCTTGTGTAATTAGAACAGCAATGAGCATAAACAGGCAAGTAAGCCTGTGATGGTTTACAGAGCTTTGGGTATATGCCTCAGAGGGCATAGCTGTATCATATGATACATCTGCCTCTAGCTCTTTGAGGAGTCTGAACACTGACTTCCAAAGTGGCTGCACCTATTTATAGTCTGCCAGCAGTGGATAAACATTCTCCTGCCCAACGTCCTGGCTGTCAATTATTGGTTTTGGTTTTCTTGATCTTAGCCATTCTGAATACGGTAAGGTGAAATCTCAGTGTAGTTTTAATTTTTATTTCTCTGATTGCTGGGGACGATGAGTGCTTTTTAAAATGTTTATTAGTCATATTTATTCTTTTGAGAACTGTGTTCAGTTCCAGAGTCCACTTTCTTAAATTGCACTGTTTACTTTCTTTGTATTTAGTTATTTTTATATTCTACATACTAATCCTCTGTCAGATGTATAGCTGGCAAAAAAAAAAAAAAATCCCCAGTCTGGAGGCTACCTCTTTAGTTGATTAACGGTTGACTCCAGAGTACAGTAACTTTTTAATTTCATGATATTCCATTTGTTATTTTGGTCTTACTTATTGCAAAATCAGGTCCTTTTCAGAAAGGCCTTGTCTGAGTCTATATCTTGAAGTGGACTCTTCTTCGTTTCTTCTTCTTCTCCTTCTCCTCCTCCCCCTCCTCCTCCCCCT